TTTTTTTATCACATGTCTTCATAATTTTAAGTTTTAAATTTTCATCTTCAAATTCCATTTTTTAGTTACATATGTTCATTGGTTTTTTTTTTTTTTTTTTTTTTTTTTTTTTTTTTTTTTTTTTTTTTGTTTAACATACCAACCTACTTTATTTTATCTTTATATAGCAACCATAAAATTTATAAATTTACACAACAATATACATATTTCGAATTTTGTCATCGTATTATACTTTATAAAAATACAATTCCCTTCAAAATAATTTTCATCAATAATTTCATCCATAATTTCAACCTATTTAAATTTGTATTTTCTTTATATAAATTTTTTTAATGATGCCGATTTTTTTTCCTAAAAAGGTATATCAAACATTCATGTCTTAGATAATGTTGCCCATTATAGTTATTACTTTCCAAAATATATCGATTTGATGAGGAATTAAATTTAATAAAGGAAATAAATGTTAATTCAAACAATATATATATTCCATAATTATTACATGAGTTTATTAAAAAACATATCAAGATGTAAACATTAAACATTTTAAAAATGAAATTTCTAAATACATACAAATAATGATATTATACAATGAAATATAAAACTGAATAGATTAAAAAAACTATTAAGACATTCAATCTTGAAAATAAATAGTTATGAAAAATTATAAAGTAAGATAAAATCTATAAGATATTATGAGATTTGTAAATACAATTAGTAAAAGCGTTATGGTTATTAGAAAAAAAATAAGATCATTAAAATTAGTAAAAATGCAATATATAAACTAAATTATCACAAGAGTAATGAAATGTCATTATTTGATATTTCATATAATTGAAAGATATACCAAATTACATTGATGATATATTAAATTTATTAAAAGTTGCGTCAAGACTAATGCAAAGTTCTTGTGAATACCAAATAAATAAAAACAAACATAAATGGTAGCAGTTATATTCATAATCAATTTAAAATAAACCAATTATGATTTAGAAAAGAATTTCCATTAATGATATACTAAAATTAAATCAATGTAACATTTAAAATTCCATAAATTATACTCTATGACTTTATTTAAATAAATAAATTAGTTGTCAATATTTAATGCAGTGAAAAAAAATGGTATTTTGGTTGTCAATGGTACCTTTATTATGGAAGGAACTTCTAATTAGAATAATTATGCTTATATAACAATATCATAACCATATGTGACGGGAAAGATCATTCAACTAATGAAACAAAAAAATATTCTATACAAAGAGGTCCTTCAACAATTATCGATATTTATCGATTTTAATGTATCTTCTACACATTTCAATAATACCAACAACTATAAATTTTTTTATAACTATTATGCAATGTGTGCAGATATTTGTATGTATTTTATGCGTTCCCGCGTTTAACGCGAGTTATAATATAGTTTTCAAGTAAAAAGGAAATCCGTGCAGACACCTTGTAAGCTAATAGTAGCTCCTTGGTCATAACGATTGGCTCCTTGTGTATTCATTTGCTAGTTTTCTTACATTACACGACCCTTTCAAATACTAAGTGTAATTTTACACAGGATGTGGAAGGGCCTGATAATTGTTCGAATGTTGTAAATTATATGTAACATTAACCCAATTCACATTCGACATACATATTTATCAAATACATTTATCTCAAAATGTCCAAACATATAATTAAATACGCCAACTGCCCCTCTCAATTTAAGTAAAAAGGTCGTTAGTTAATGGATCTCTAACTATCAAGACGGAATCCATGTTCACTGCTAGCGATCCTTACTTTCAACATCCTTACTTTCAACCCAACCCATATTGTAGACACGTTATCCATATCGACTTTGGACACCATGTAACAGACGACGACTTTAAATAGTAAACACTTGATACCATTTTGTAGTAAATGCGTCATTTATGGAGACAATTAAACCAGAACTTAGACTAAACACTCCATATAGTAGATAATAACACGTAGCCTTTAATATATATATATATATATATATATATATATATATATATATATATATATATATATATATATATATATATATATATATATATATATATATATATATGTTGTTTTTCTTTTTTGCCAACATTAAAATATAGTAGATAATAATATGTAGCCTTTAATATATATATATATATATATATATATATAGTTTTTCTTTTTTGACAACATTAAAATAAATAAGTAATTTTTATTTATTTTAAAATTTTATCATATGTTTAACTTTAACCCAAATAACTATTAGCTAATATGGTTTTTTCTTTGTTTTTTTTTCCCACATTATAATATGCAAGTAATTTTTTGTTTTATAGCAATTTTTTCATTTCTTGGATCAAATTTAGTTATATCAACAATGAGGCATGCATTGATGTAAGCTTAGGCAACTATTTTGATAAATGTGCTCGACTCGATGGTATGTATATATGTATACATAAGTACATAACAACTTAAACCGACTCCTTGTACATTAAGAACATTTGGTATATCAAGGACGAGTAAAGTCGTGGTCTACATGGCCATGGAAGTTCATCGTGCACACCATCCCGACCTTCTGTGGTCGACGTGCTCAATTGTGGTGCAGACGACGAACGTAAACGGCCAATAGGGAAAGAGGAGGAACGATGCATGCGTCGGGTTTTGCGATTTGAGGGAAAGAGATGGTCAAAACTTTAAGAAATTACAAGTTTCGGTCCTTAGATTTACACATATTAACAAAACTTGACCTATTTTATTGTATTTTTTATTTAAAATAAAATAAAAAAATGATGTAGAGTGGAGTGGTAGTGGTGGGTATCCCATAGGTTTAACGGTAGTTAGTGATGATGATGTGTCACCGACCATTACACTACTAGGTGTGGACAACATGTTATTACATGTTACCACACCCAAAAGGTGCCATATCGCATCCTACTCATACATGGATCTTATAACACCCAATGTGGAAATGGGCAACATCTAATAACATGTGATAACACTAATTATTTTTTTATTTTATTATTTATTTTTAATATTTCGAATTTGTTATTTTTTTATTTATTTAAATTTGAAAAGTAATTTTTTTTTAATAAAACTTAAAAACAATAGAAAAAATTACAACAAAACACAAAAACATTTAAAAACCTAAAAAGCAAAAAAAAAAAAAAAAAAAAAAAGATGATAAAACAGACATTTTTGGCCTAAAACTATTCATCTTCATCTTCGTGACCAACATAGATGTAATCTGCCAAGTCTTCACGGAGTTGCTTATGTTTTCGCTGATCTTGAATATCAACCACTCTATGTAAATATTCCGATGTCCCTGGTTGAAATTACACATGTCTTGGCTTCGTAGGCGAATACGTTGCAATATTGCGTCCTTTATCTTCGATAACCATGTTATGCATTATGATACATGCATACATGATATATCATAAAGTATCTAACTCATAAGGTCTCGCTGCATGTTCAACTATGTGCCATTTTGATTTCAAAACCCCAAAAGCACGTTCAACGTCATTACGTGCTCCTTTTTGTCGTTTCTTGAAATATTTGTCACTTGGATCTGTTGGGTTTCGAAACGCCTTCACAAACGTGGAATATTGTGGATATATTCCATTTGTAAGGTAATATTCAAACTTATATTCATTTCCATTCACTGTGAAAGGAGCATCCGGGGCTTTTCCTGACAAAAGATCGTCAAATATTGGTGATTGACCGAGAACGTTGATATCGTTGTTAGAACCCTCAACCTCGAAAAAAGCATGTCGAATCCATAAATCTTGTGAAGCAACAACCTCTAATACCAACGAAGGCGCTCCATGATGACCGCTCGAATACTGGTCTTTCCACGCCATAGGGCAATTTCTCCATTTCTAGTATGTGCAGTCAATGCTCCCAAGCATACCCGGAAAACCATGTCTTTCTTCATGCTCCACATATAGTTGTTGCATATCATGCAACGAAGGTTTGCATAAGTATTGGTCACTGAAGGTTTCGACAACACCTCTTGCCAATAAATACAAATTTTCTCGTGCGGTCCTCTCAGACATTCTCATATAATCGTCAACAGAATCGGACGACTCACCCATTGCCATAAGTTTAATTACAGCAACACATTTTTGCAACTCTGTGAAACCTCGTTTGCCTTTAGCATCATATCTTATTTGGAAAAATTCATACCTACATAAATATTAAATATGTAAAAATTGTATTTATTTTATCTAAAATTGACATTTTAAAAATTATAAAAATTGAAGCAAACTATATCTAAATAAATATTAAACATGTAAAAATTGTATTTATTTTTATCTAAAAGTGACATTTTATAAATTATAAAAGTTGAAACAAACGATACCTAAATAAATATTAAACATGTAAAAATTGTATTTATTTTATCTAAAAGAGACGTTTTGTAAATTATAAAAGTTGAATCAAACGATATCTTTCTTCCATAGCGTTGGCTATCATTTCAAATATATTTTTTCGCAAACGAAATCTTCTTTTGAAATCGTTTGGTTGGTAGACACAATTTTCCGCAAAGTGATCGTTAACTAGCCGTCCATGCCCTTCCTCACGATCTCTATTTAACGTTGCATGTCGCGTGAGTAGTGGAGCTGGATCTGGCTGTACCAGGCTGTCTGTATAATACCGGTACATCATAATCACGAACAAATCATCTTCATCGTTATCATCGTTGTACGGATGGGCCGGATCAAATTGACCCATATTTTGGTTTTGAAATATTGAAAGAAATATGTAGAGAAGTATGTGTTTTGTAGGTAAAAATAATAAATGTTATGTGATAGTATATATAAAACTTGATTTTTTTTATGTTACCGTTTGTTTCAAACGGTCAAAATTATAGTTGTTGAAGCAAAAACACAAGAAATAACTACCTCCCGTTATGGGCATCACGCGTAATACCATAACACCTAATAACGGCTGGGGGCGGTGTTCCTCCCGTTATGGTCACTAATAACAGGAACCCGTTGCCCACACCCGTCTTTTTTATAGTGATTATCGGTAGGTACAATCAGGGGTGGAGCCTAGCATGGCCAGGGCATTATTGGACTAGGGGGATAACTTTTGAATAGTTGTCATGGTATTGTAGCATTTCACGGGCAATGGAGGCGAAAACGAACGCTGGAGAAATTGTAGCATTTCACGCCTAAATCGAATCGAAACGGATTTCTTGGTAAACTCAGACGATGAAATCGAGGAGTCGTTTCGTTATAAATCGCCACCGGTCCACCGTCATCGTCTATCGACTTTCAATCCACAAATCACAATCAATGACTGATTATCTTGCTCCTCTTCTCATCGTTCTCGACATCTCCACGCTCTAGACCTCCAGTTCTCCCAAAATCCAAATCGTCAAATCGATTCACTAATTCTCGACAGTCCAATACAAATTTGAAAGGCATTCCATCCTGTTTAAATAGAAAATCAGAAACCGTTCCAGACTTTTTAAGTGAAGTTTCTCAAAATCATAAATTCAGAATTGTATCTGTCCGCTCTGATTTCTCAAGGAGTTAATTTTATGAAATTCTGGTTATATTAGTTCTTTGAAATTCCAATTAAGTTTTCTGATTTATAACTACTGAATACTTATTACTGATATTGTGATTGTGAAGCCAGCCGAAAATTGAGTGAAGCAAACGCAGTTTTCTGCTTTCTCCAATCTCCAAATCGGGTAATCTGACCTTATAAAAGCATAGTTAGATAGCATTGGTTTAATTTTTTGTTTTGATTTCCGAATACAATTGAATAATTATCTTTTTCATTGTACTAAAATTACAATGTTTGGTCCTTTTTAGTTTTCAGAATGCAGCCTCACTATCTCAGCCTCTTCCAAATATGTTGCATTTTTCTTTGTTTACACTTCTATTTGTTGAATTTAACGGATTAAGCATGTTCCAACCAAACAACGTTTGGGTGCTCAAAATAGAAAACGGAAAAGTTAGAGAACAAACACTTGTTAAAAATTTGCAAGGGTCTTTCAATTTTGCAGATATTGTTCTCAAAACTCTTAGACAAAAACTCATAACTAGTTTACAGTTTAGTATGTCCTGATTGTTGTATTCTATTTCATTGCAGGTTTTGGAGCAAAACAGAATGCATAATGATCTGGTTGTGATGTGTAAATGAACACAAAATCTCATAAATGTACAATGGGTTTTAGGCATGGCATAATTGGAATGATTGTTGATAGACTAAGTAGCTTGCCAGATGATCTTATTCATAAAATCCTCTCTTTTATTAGCCTGAGACAGGCTATTGAACTGAGTGTTTTGTCATCTAGATGGAGGTTTATCTGGACTTCATTGCCATATCTCAATTTCAATGAACCCCATTCTTCACCCCACTCTTTGAAATTTGTTTCTAATGCTTTGTCTCAACGCAATAATCAAACACAAGTATATTCAATCAACATCACGTTTAGCAATAAATCTTTCAAACGAATTCTCAACTACACATTCTCTCACAATATCCAGCAGTTGAGTGTATCTTTTTACTCATCTTCCATTATCATGACTTCCATTTGGGACCTCTCAGCTTTAAAGACATTACATCTTGATGGCATCACATTGTGTGATGATAATACTGATAATTGCATTGGTTTTCTATCCATGTGCACCAACTTGGAGAATCTCTCGTTAAGAGGATTCAAAGTGAGGGGAACAAATGATTTGACTCTATGTCATCCTCAAATTTCCAATCTCACACTTGAAAATACACACTTGAATTTGAATTTGGACGTTATCAAAGTGGTTGCACCTCAACTCAAGAATCTCACTATTAACTATTTCAATGGAAAGCATCTGATGATTTCTGCACCTGGGCTTACCTCATTGGAAATAAAAAGTTGTCGTCTTTTTCAGCTAAGTGCTACACAAGGTTTCCCTTCTTTGGAGAAGGTGGATCTCTGTTTTATTAATAGAAACCCACCATACATTGGAGATCCTCGTAACTTAGATTGTGTGCTCCAACAAAGTGTCAAATTTCTTACACTAAACCTGGACATTCTTGAGGTATTTTTCCTAGATGTTGTTTGTCATGTGTATCTTAGTATGTCCACCATGGATGATGGAAACAGTAAAAAGACGAAAACAAAACAATCTATAAATAACTTTTTTTTTCATCAACTTATGTAGTGTTTTTCATCCATGAGAATAATGGCACCTCAATCTTCTCCATTTGCTAACTTAAAGATTTCAAAGTTTTCAACGACTCATCCAATAAGGGTATACTTGGAAGTGGGAGCCCAAGAGAAATTAAGTACGTCCACTGAAATAAAAAACTATGAACAGCTAAATACTTCTCCAAGTGCAATCTGTACATTTGTCTCATCTGAGGTATTTATGTAATTAATAGCAGTATGTTTGTGAGTGATAATTTGTATTATTAAAAGCCAAACACTACAGGAGATTAGAGTTATGAGGAATGTTATATCTACACAAGAGGTTGTTGCAGAACTACGGGTGCTGCTAAAGCAGCGTAAAGCATTTTGTGATGCGAACAAGGAACAGCCCATTGCTCCAATGGTGAGCTGTAGGGCACAAGTTAACAAGCAGTGGACACAATCTGCCTCTGAAATGCAATCCTATTTGCAGGAAATGATGCCACATTTTAAGCAAAGCAAAATGGAGGAGCTTATGCAAAGTAAGATTGAGGAATTACTGACAAAGTTAAAACACATTGAAGGATTGTTGACTAAGCTGCCTGCATCAAAGAGGCCTGCAATGCAAGCACCATTTTGCATTGTGTGTGATGAAGCTGCCATTGTCACGGGTGATATGTTGAAATATATGAAGATTCGATATATTAAAAAGCCAAAGTGTTCAGATGTTTAGTTTCATCAACATACAACATTGCTGCCCTTCTTGTAGCAAATTGTAAGTTCTTGATTTCAGTTATACTCGTAAATTTCAAGGGTATGATTAAAAGGCCAACCTTTGGTGATGTATTATCTTCTGTTTTGATTTCAGGTTACAATTTACCATAACTTATCTATGAAATTTTGGATTTGAGGTTTCCACTCTCTTCTGAAATTAGACCAGAAACATCATTTTTAGTCTGTTGATCACCTTTAAGATTGGCTTATCAAACTGAATAAAAGGACATTTTGTATTTCTTGTGTTTTGGATCCAGGCATCTCATCCTTTCTATTTTGTATATTAGTACTCTTTCAATTGCAATACATCCCATCAACTTATACTGATCTGTCTAAATTCTCTACAACCAAACTAATTCTCATTATAGTCTAACTTTTAAGAATCAAACATCAACTCTCCAATAGAACCTGAACCTGCAATGCATGCACGATAATTTATTTATGAAATTTTCATGACTTCCATTACCATTGGGTGATTTCATTTGTTGCATCAGTGGAAATCAACAGTTCCCGGAAAATAAGTCTAAACATTTCTAATACTTACAACTGTAATAATATAATCTTAGTTATCATCATAAAAGGATTATATCATAGAAAACATTTTTAAGTTTATCAACGATGGATTGCTATTTATTATACTGTGCTTTCAAAAAGCACAACCGATGATAGTTCATATGCAGTTATGCACCGAGTATTTGTTGTGTATGAACAGGAAAGGAGTAGTATCATAAATTAGGATATCGTTGTTTTTTCGATTCCAGTCCGCAAACCAAAAAATAGAAAATCTGTTCAAAGTTCAAACTATCTATATGTGATTATGATCAGAAAAGAATGTGATAATTACACAATTTGCAATTAACAGAATAAGATGTTCGGACAATATATGCCACATGACGACATCCGGGTAGGTTTTTATAGAGAAAAGATACCTTTTTTCTTGAAACCTATGACTCTGGAAGATCAATTGCACACAGATTGGATCCCGAAATTTTAGCTTCTAAGAATGTGCGTGTGTGGTAGCATTGTTAAATCAACAGAGCGCCAATCTGAATTGGATCATAATCGCGGTCCATGGATGATGCTAAATTGGGCCCGACATATTGTTGAGCTGCTTATCTTTTAATCACAGAATTAAACATGATCTAAAATAATAATAATTAAAAAAACTAAAATAAAATTACAAATTACGTGATCAAACGGCTTAGAATTAACTTTTTTACCAATTAATTTATATTAAATGTTGAAAAGTAATGTTAGAATAACTAGCAATTAAGTAATTTTAACAACTATCAAATAGGATCAGTGTGAGATCAACATGATTTCATAAGTATCAATTACAATCAATATAATTTTGATGATATTATATAGTTTGATGGGATATGCAGAATATGTCCGGAATTACATATTTGCATGTATATTTAACTATTGTGTAGATGTACACCATGGAAAGTAAATTATTATAGATAATTTCTTTAATTTATTTCCATGGAAATAACCCGGTAGGATTGGTCCATAGGGAATTCAACATGTCCCAATAAATGACCCTCCACCAAATAAAAGAGCCCCAAGTTTTATTAGCATGTCTTAGAGTAGGTTCAAACTTAGTCCAAATCTAATTAGGTTGAACAAGTGGAGGAAGCCGTAGCGAGTGCAATTTCTGATGTTTTGTATTTTGAAAAATCTGAGAGTTTACAACTCAAAATGCAAATAAATCAGAAGGTCTTTTTTACAAGTTTCAAAATTTTTAAATGTAATTTTTTCTGATTTGTGGGTTTTTTTTTCCTTCTTGTTTGTTTATACTATATATTATTTCTAATAAATTTTATTTTTTACAAATTTATAGATGACATAGGTGTTAGAGCACTACAAGAAATGTGAACATTAGTGGCGACATGTGTCGCCACAGAAGAGTATATACGTCACCGCTAATAAGGAAATCTAGTTATAATTGTTTTGTTTAAATTTTTAGATCTTTGTTTTAGGATCTATTTTTTGTTAAATTGCATAGGGTCTCCGAAATCTCGTAGCCGATGTTTTGAATAACGAGTTTGGAATACAAAGAAATGATACATATTATGGTCTAGAATTCGCAGAAAGTTTTGTTCAAAATGTCTGGAATGACTTCTATTTTTTTCATAATGGTAAATAAGTAATAATATTGATTTGTATTAAACTAATACCAATGAACTAGTATGAAATCAGAAGTTGTCCCTTCTAATGGTTTCCTAACCAAGACAATGTGGGATGTAATTTTAATTAAAATTGGGGTCTGGTTAAGTATTGATAAAGTGTTGTACTTGAATGGGCAAGAGAAAAAAATGCTTACACAAAGTTTGTTTATTTTCTGAAATTTGAATAAGACTAATTAAATTCCCACCCATTTTCCCTTCGGTCTATAAATGATAAAAATACTAAACTTGTTTATGATGATAACGAGGGGTGGTCAGATTTGTAGAGGTTTTCTTCAACCTTTTTTCGCAGCCAATGTTTGAACAAAGGTTGATTACTGATACTACAATTTGATAGAAGGTGAAAATTTGGCACAATGGAAATTTGCATTTACATTAGTTGTTTTACAACTTTTTACAAATTTTTACAACTTTTTTAAAAATATTTTGGTACTTATTAAGCTTTTTCACATTTAACTACTTATTTAGGCGCATATAACTTCCATTTTACATATGAACCTATGCCTCTTTCTCCATCGCCCCAATAGTAAAAAATGTCGCAGAATATAAAGATGTATGTCGATTTTTTTCTTTTGTACAAGATTTCAATATGATGATGGTCTTCATCTTGGACGAGCAAACCACGAAGAACATTAAATATATGGATTTTATTTTAGTATAAAAAGTGGGGTCCACTTGCTATTTGAAAGCACTATTTACTATGGTTTCGCTAACAATTTGAAACTTGTTTGGTAAATAATTATTTGAAATACATAAAATGTTTAGGTTAAAAAACTCTCATAAATATTGGTAAGATGTTACTACCTGGTATAGCAAAATGTGTTTGTACTTGCTATACAAAAATTACAATTCATACTTATAAAATTATATTGAACCTAAGTTTTTAATTGATCATTACCAAAGTATATTAATCTAGAGTAAATTATAGAAATGATCCATATGGTTTCATTCAATTTGTAGGTTTGGTCCAATCTTTAAAAGGTTGATAGAAACCATTCATGTGATTTGGAAAAAGTACACCAAGTAAATTATAGAAATGGTCTATATTGTTTCATTCAATTTGTAGGTTTGATCCAACATTTAAAAAGTTGATAGAAACCATCCATGTGATTTGGAAAAACTACACCTTTAGTCTGGAATAAAACGACAATTTTATTCTTTGCAATTTTTATTTTTCTTTTTTTTCTTTTACCCATTTACAATATTTAATAATTAATAATAGAAAATTAATAAAAGTGCTCACTCACTCAACCCCTACACACCTCTTTCTCCTACCTATTCACATATTCGTCTTCATTCCCTTATTCACCCCTCAATTGAAAACCCTAATTGCACCAACACATCCCTTCATCGTTTTTGTCTTTGGTGAGAGACCACCACCGCACACTCCATCGACATTGGTTAAGGGAAAAATAAAGATTGATGGTGTATAGGAGATCGGAGGAAAGAAAACCATCCACATCAACAAAAACCATCCTCAAATTGAAGTTTTGTTCTTGGTGTTACCAACACCCCCACTTACCCTAACCCTATCGTATTTCTCTCCTCCTTCACCATTATTAGTGGAGAAAGTATAACCACCACCCTCCTCTACACCACTCCAAAAACATCATCAAAAGCATCAATTTTGTTAATATCACAAATTTGAAAGTAGAGTTGTTTTTAAGCAAAATCAATATGAAAAGAGATTAAGAGACTTGATATGGATGTTCTAGTAGGGGCCGAAAAACGTATATATGAATAGGGCAAATTGAATATTAGGGTTCTCAATTCACCAAAAATGGATTCATATGTGATGTTGATCTTGCTAAAAATCCATTTCTTTTCATGTACATAGATCTTAATCAATGGAATCCAGAGTGTTCGTGGTCAGCGGAGAGCAACTGTAGTGTTGGTGGTTAGGGATGAAGTGGTGGGGGATGAAATATAGACATTATATGATGGGTGAAGTGTAGGTCGTTGATTCCAATTTAATATTACTATGGATTATAAAAGAATAAAAAACATATAAGAAAGAGTAAAGTAGTCTTTTTATATGAATAAAGAGATTCAAATTGTAATTTGTTAAAACCACATGGATGCAACATATCAATTTTTTAATTTAGGGACCAAATCTGAGAATTTGACCAACACCGTAATTTACTTCATTAATTTGTTTGATACTATCATACTAATTATCTAAATAACACATAATTGTAATTACCTACCCCTCGACAGTCTAGTTCTCGGTTCTCTATTTCATGCTCAAATGGTTCTTGATTTTTCAGTTCTCGTTTCGATTTGGGAACCAATGCTCATCCCTACGTGTTATCGTATGGCGACACACATCACGTTAAGTTTAATCAACGAATTTAAAACAATTAGCAAAAGTTGTTTTTAGGCATTATTTGGTTAGTTTAGATATACTTTATTTTTTTTCTTTGTTTTAAATTAACATATTTAGCGTTAGTAATGTAAACAAAAGTCGTAGAATACGTTAAACTGAGAGCGTGCATAAAAAGAATACCCAAATCTGACTTCGTATGAGAAAGTTATGATTTTTCGAAGTTTCGACTTAGCGGTATGCAGCCCAAATACTCGATTTGAGATCGAACGATTTTTAGCCGAAACAATCTAAACGAGAATCGAAGATCTCATCAATAGTAGTGCAACGGTAAAAAGACAGACGAAAATGGACATCGGATGAAGAAGTTATGAATTTATAACGGAGTTTTCCTGTCCCGACCTACTAAAAATAAATAATAAAAAAAAATAATATCAAAATTAGCCGACGGAGTCTAAACAAAAGTTGTAGAGTGTAGTTTCACCTACGCGTGGATATAAAGAACTTCGAAATCGGAGTTCGTATGAGGAAGATATGAATTTCTAAAGTTTTTAAATAATTAATATTTATTATTTAATCTTTAATACGGATGGATATTCGAAGGAGTCACCAATCTGATCCGAACTACGCCCAGCATACCCCGATGCATGCACTGCCTCACACTCGAGTGCTCTGATGATGTAAGCGATGACGAATCCGAAGCGTACGCCCCGCGTACTGTAGCATTACGCCCAGAGTAATGTGAGGCTTCAACATCTATAAAAGGGCATGCGAGGGCAGCCGATTCTTTTGCTCATCGTTTTGCGTGCAACTTATA